TTTTTTTAAAAAATTGTAAGATATGAGCTATACCGTGGGCAATGTGGACCGAGAGATTAGGAAAAGCATATAGAGCAGAAATAATTGTCTTATGTGTGGTTGCCAGTAGATGCAAGTACGATAGTAAGCTTAGGTTTGATGTGAAGTGACGAGGTGATGCTATTTTTTAAACTAGGATGTGGACTGTGCCTCTAGCCCGAGACTGCTTTTTTGTATTAAAATTCAAGCTCTGTGGAAAATTCTTCAATTCAGTTTTAATTTTGGATGCTGCTTTTCTGCAGTGCTTAAAAAAAATCCAGCTTCCTAATTACAATTTACAAGGTGCCTTTCATTTTGGGAGGACATTTGAAAAGACTTCAAATAGCTGACTGGGAGTCTGGGCTGGAAGGGGGTCAGCGGAGAAGTGGGATGGGGTGGGTTGGAAGTGGAGTTGAAGGGGAAGGAAAGTTGACCGAATGCGTGACAGAAGAGATAGGTTATGTTTGTTTTTGAGGGTGGAGGTAGAAGGAGCAAGGTGGAGGGACAGAGAGCTGGACAGAATGGCTGAAAGCAATAGGGTGACAGGAGGTTGCACAGTTCGGGTGGGGTGAGGCTGTGGAGGGATCTGAAAGTCAGGACAAAGATCTTGAATTTGATCTGCTGGGGGATGTGGAGACAAGCAAGAATTTGTGGGAGGGGGTGGGGGAATGGCCTTCTTAAAACTGAATTCAAAAGTTTTGGAGATATTTTGATGTTTTCTCTTGATATGTGTACTGTGTTGCACATGGCTCAATAAATAATAATAATAATTGTCTTATTTGTGGTTTCTATTGAACGAGATGCCATTAGTTGCAAGTGCAATGGTAAGCTTAGGTTTCATATGAAGTGGCGAGGTGGTGCTATTTTGTAAACTTGGATGTAGATTGTGCCTCTAACCCTAGACTGTTTTTTTGTCTTAAAATTCAAGATCTTCAATAATAATAATCTTTATATTTGGTGTAAGGAGCTTGTCTCAAAGTGTTTCATTACGCTTTATTGTAAATATGGGTCTGTGGATGATGGGATGGGTGATTCAATTTCTGAAATATCTTTGCAGGGCTTTGCCCTGGAGTTAGAGTGGTTGTGTTAATCATCGCTGGAAATAATTTAAATAATTACAAATAATAATCATAATTTGGTCACTCAATCCACAACTGTTTGTGGTATATTTCTGTGCGCAATTGGCTGCCACATTTTGCCCACAAAACACACAGTCACTACACTTTACAGTATATTCTGTAAAGCTCTTTGAGGCATCTCAACGACGTGATAAAGTGCTATATCAAATGTAAGGTTTATTATTATGTGGTGATTTTCTTAGCAGTATACTTGTCAGCCTGTCTCAGTGAGTAGCATTCTTGTCTCTGGATCAAAAGAGCTGTGGATTTAAGGCACGATTCAGTCCTGGAGCTTGTGATCCAGGCTATGCTGTTGGGGGAGGATTGCCCTGTCGGAAGTGCTGTTCTTCAGATGAGATATTAAACGGAGGTTCCATTTGCCTATTCAGGTGTACATTACAGAAGTCAGGACTCTATTGCTAAAGAGAAGGGAGTTTATCCTAAGGGAGGGGGCTGGACAAGGTGGAGGGATTTCGGGATGGAGTTCAGAGGGCAGAATGGCTGAAAACTCATCCGCCAATCGTGGGACACTTCGGGTGGGGCAGGTGAATCAGAATCATGAGGGACATGAGTGGAGAAAGGAATGGGCAGTAAGATTGCAGGAAGTTGTAGACATAAGGTGAGGCGAGAGAACGGATGTTGGGTTAGTGCACATGTCGAACACCTTGCAGACTAAAAAATTGAGAACAATCATATCCCAAATTGCATTTGAACATCCCCAACCCCCTTATATTAGCTTGTTGACATGCCTGAATTTCTAATAGAATTGAATGGCTGACGATTAACCTCTGGGAATTAACTAAATTCTGCTGGTTACTACAGTTACCAAATTATAGACACCCAAGGTAGGTTTCTTTTGCAAACAGTTAAGGAGAAGGAAATTTGCGGCACATAATGTTTATTTCCTGTATCATTTTAAATCCATTATTATTCAGTCTTGGCGTAAAAGAAATTTGGCTTCAAAATTTAAGACCATATTTATGAATGAAGATTCTGGATCCTCTGAAATGTTACACAAATGGCCTAAAGCTATTCCTGGGTGGAATTTCTTCCCCACCCCAGGATTTATATACTAATAATATAATATATTACTATCATGATATAATAATAATTGAATTTGATATAGCACCTTATCATGTCATTGAGACTCTCAAAGCGCTTCACAGAATATACTGTAAAGTGACTTGACTGTGTATTTTGGGGGTAAAATGCGGCAGCCAATTGCACACAACAGTGTCATGGATTGAGTGACCAAATTATTTATTTATTTGTTTGTTTAATTTTTGAAGGAATTATTACCCCCAGAAAGCCATCCGCCAATCGATTAACAAGCAGGTTCCTACTTACTGCTGGGTAAACAGAGGTGTTTGGAGTAAGGGAAACTTGTCTAAGGTTTCATTCTGCCCGGGAATCAAACCCGGGTGCCCTTGCTTGTGAGGCGAGCACACTAACCACTTCGCCTTATTAGTTCAAAGTCACAATGTAGGACTTGAACCCATAACCTTATAATTCAGAGGCAAGATTGCTACCAACTGAGGCAGGCTGATATCTAAAATACATGTTGTATGGAGTAAAAATTGGTTATTCACTTCATAAATGTTTGTGGGAAACTGTCTGTGCAAAAATTGGTTGCTGCATTTGCCTATAATCCATTTGGTGGTCCACATATTAAAAATGTAAAACTTGATTCAAATTTCTTCCCTCATCCAAACACCCAGCCATCTATTTCTTCAAAAGGTAACGCGCCGTTAAGTAACACAGATGGAACAGTGACAGGAAGTATGGATCTGACAACTGTTACATCCGCAAACGTTAACAGTAAGTCCACAACACAGTCCTCTCAGACTGCAACAGATCCAAGTAGTATAGGTAAGCCAATATATAGAGGAATATTTGTGAACAGGATTGAGACTACCACCTTCAGGAATGACAAAATAACCCAGCCAGAAGGAGGATCGGGCCATTGGAATGAGCAGAGCAGACAATGGGAGCTGAGGCACTCGCTTTATCCCTCATTGCCTTTTTCTCTCTGTCATCACTGCTGAGTCAATCTTCCTTTGCCTCTTCAGAAAAGTCTTCAAAATTAAATTCTCATGTATCCTTGTTCTCATCTTCAAATCACTCCACCACCTCATCCCCACCCAACAACCCAACTCTATCGATCTGGTCTCCCTCTCCACTCAGCATCGCATCCCCCCACTCTGTCCACCCTACCATCGGTGAGTAGGCTTTCACCCCTGCTCTCTGGTACTGCATCCCGGAGTCCTTCCGACCCATCCCCTATCCCTCATCTCATTTAAGGTCGATCTCAAGGCCAAGCCCTTAAACCATACTTTTGATCATTTCTTTCACACCCAGCTCAACTGCCCAGCCTGCAGTGTTAAGCAATTTGAGGCATACATCTGATGTGAAAAGCTCTATATGAATGTAAATTATATTTATTCTATGGTAAATAATTGGAATTTGCCATAGTGACCTTCAGCCATGGGAGGACGCATGAAAGCTGTGGAGTGGAGTGATGGCACAGGCACGATGGGCCAATTGGCCTCCTTCTGTGCTGCAAAATTCTATGACTATGTATTTTGTTCACTTTTCAATGTTCACCTTGCATCATGTGTACACTGCGTATCCCTTGCCAACAGGTACTGGTCATTCAACCTTGCAAACTCCCTCGCCGCCTCTCTGCCCCGCTATTAGTGACTGAATGTTGAGCCGCTATGCCCCTACTCTCTGCAAAGTCCTCCAAAACTCCCTCTGCCTTGCACTTAATCCCTGCTTTTAAAACATACCCTCTCATTTATACCAACTCATGCTACACTATTAATTAGTGAAATAACAATACCTCACATACTAAACACTTAAAATTTAATTATCAACATCAACACTGGCCAGAAATTTACCTTGAATAATTTCTACAGTAGAACCATGGGCTACCACATTATTAACAGCTAGAAATGGTTCATTCTCATCTCTCTCTATTGGTAACAACACAAATAACAATTGGTGTAAGCACACTATCACCAGCAATTTATTAATTTAGAGTATTGAATTTACTACAGAATACTGAAAACACTTATCAATGGATATATTCACATTGGCGAAGAGAAGATTGAGGGACAATATGATTACGGTTTTTCAGATTCTGAAGGGAATAGATAATGTAGACCATAATATGCTACTTTATCTTATACTGAACCAGTAGAACCAGAGAACATAGCCTGTGAATGAAGAGGTGGTAAATTCAGAACAAATCTGCGCAAATCACTACTTCAGTGAGCAAGTAGTAACTTATGGAACAGGCTCCTTGGGGAGACAGTGGAAGTAGAAAATGTTGTTTGTTACAAGAACAAACTAGATAAGATTTCTGACAGAAAATAATATCTTGATACAGTATATCTCCAGCCTGCTTCACGCTCCCTATCTCGCCTGCCCCACCGTCCTCTTCGACCATGCCTTCAGTCACCCTTCTTCCCCCCCTACCCTCCACCCTCCCAAACCTGACCACCAGCTCGGGTCCGAAACACTGATTGTCTAGCACCTTGGGACATTGTCCCGACACTATACAAATGTAATCTTGTTGTTGTATATAGTTTGGGATATACCATGTCAAGTGACTCCCAGGGTGGTGGAAGGAGAACTAGATGGACCTTGGTCTTCTTTCGCCTAGCAAATTCTTATGTTCTTATGATATTTTTCAACACATATTATACCATCAATAAAGGAGATATCAACACCTCAACACCTACAGAAGAACCGTAGGCCGCTGCACTATTAACAGCTACAAGTAGTTCATTCTCATCTCTCTCAATAGGTACTGCACCCGTAACAGGTACTGTCTCAACGACACAAATAACTCCAGTGTCGTCAGAAGCTACGAATTCAATTGAATTCTCATCATCATCATCCCTGGCTGGTGGTCTATCTCCAGAAACATCTACAGAAAAGTTATCTGCTACCTCACTAGTAACAGGTACCCATGAATAAGTCTCACCTCCTTCAAAAGGTACGGCACCCTCAAAACGTGAGGAATATATAACATTAATAGCAACTGGCCTAAGCATGTAAAGCACAGCCAGGATTGTATCTTCAGGGACAGAGACATCTACAATAAGGCCACCAGGCACCAAAGGTCAGGTGGTTCATTCTCATCTCTTTCAATAGGTACAGCACCCACAACGGGTAATGAGTCAACAACACATTCTCCAATATCAGCAAAAACTACAAATGCACTTGAGTTATCACCATCGTTCAGAGCCAGCAGTGCACCTCCAGAGACATCTACAGAAAAGCTATCTGCCATCACACCAGTAACAGGTACACATGAATCATTCTCACCTCCTTCAACAGATACAGCGTCCTCAACAAGGTGAGGTGGCAACAATCCAAACAACAACTGGTGTGAGCACATCACCACCAGCAATTATTCTACTTACAGTATTGACCCTACCACACGAATACTGACAACACTTATCAATGGTTTCTTTCAACACATATTGCAGCATCAATAAAGGAGATTTCAGCACCTCACATACCTTCTACACTTACATGCGCTACCGTTGAATTATCACCATCAATCTCGGCTGCCAAATTATCTTCAATAACAGAGATGTCCACAGAAGAACTACGGGCCACCACAACTATTAACAGCTACTGGTGGTTCCTTCCCATCTCTCTCAACAGCTGCAGCACCTACAACAGGTACCGTCTCAATGGCACAAATGCCTCCAATGTCCTCAGAAGTGACAAAAGCAATTGAATTCTCACCATCATCCCCAGCTGGCAGTGTATCTCCAGAAACATCTCCAGAAATATCTACAGAAAAATCGTCTGCCACCGCACTAGTAACAGGTACCCATGAAACATTCTCACCTTCTTCAATAGGTACAGTGGGACACTGATGTGCGCAATTAGCTACTGCATCGTGGCCACAAAATATAAAGTCACTACACTTTACATTATATCCTGTGAAGCGCTTTTTAGAACTCTTGAGGACATGATGAGGCGCTATATCAAACGCAGTACTATTATTATTATTATTTTTACAGGACCTATTATTACAAAGTGCTATATCAAATGCAAGTATTATTATAGGACCCTCAATAAGTGAGGAGTCTATAACATAAATAAATGCCAGGTTAAGCATATCAACTACAGCCAGTATTAAATATTAAATGACATTTAAGAGACATCTACAGTAGAGCCATCTGCCACCAAAGGTACATGTAGTTCATTCTCATTTTTTTCTACAAATACAGCACCCACAACAGGTAACATGGGTATACTTCCAATGACCTGGGACGCTATAAATGCAATTGAATTATCACCATCACCCACAGCCAGCAGTGTATCTCAGAAACAGAGATATCTACAGAAAAGCTATCTGCCACCACACCAGTATCAAGTACCCATAAATCATTTTCTCCTCCTTCAACAGGTACAACACCATCAATGGTGATGGTGTGCTTATAACAGCTGGTGCAAGCACACCATCACCAGCAATTATTGTATCTACAGTATTATATCTACTACATAAATACTGACAACACTTATCAATGGCTTCTTTCAACACATTTTGCACCATAAATAAAAAAGAGATATTAACACCTCACATACCTACCACACTTACAAGCACTACAATTGAATAAACAATACCCATCCTGGCCACTAATTTATGTTCAATAAGAGATGCTTTCGGAAGAACCATGACCACACTATTAACACTTACAGGTGGTACATTGTCATCTCTCTCAACAGGTACGGCACCTACAACAGGTACTGTCTCAACAACACAAATACCTCCAATGTCCTCAATAGCTATGAATGCAATTGAATTCTCGCCATCACCATCATCCCTGACTGCCAGTGAATCTCCAGAAACAGAGATATCTACAGAAAAGCCATCTGCCACCACACCAACAACAGGTATGTGTGAGACATTCTTTCCTCCTTCAACAGATATTACAGCTCAATAAATGAGGAGTCTGTAACATTAATAACAGCTGGTCTAAGCATGTCATCCACAGTCTGTATTGTATCATCAGTGACACAAACATCTACAATAGAGCCATCTTCCAGCAAATGTATAGGTAGTCCATTCTCATCTCTTTCAACAGGTACAGCACCCACAACAGGTACTGTGTCAACAACACAAATATTTCCAATGTCCTCAATAACTACCAATGCAATAGAAAAATCACCACCAACATCATCCACAACTGGCAGCGTATCACCAAAAACAGAGACGTCTACAGACAAGCAATCTACCAACACAAAAATAACAGGTATCCAATGTTTAAGTCTCACCTCCTTCAACAGATACAGCACTCTCAATAAGTGAGAAGCTATATCATTAATAACAGCTGGCCTAAGCCTGTTATCCACAGCCATTCTATACATTCAGTGATAGACATTGACAATAGAGACGTGTGCCACCAAAGGTGCAGGTGGTTCAATCTCATCTCCTTCAACAGATATGGCACCCATAACAGGTGAAATGTCAACAATACAAATACTTCAAATGTCCTCAATAGTTATAAATACAATTAAAATATCACCATCATCCACAGCCGGTACTGTTTTTCCAGAAACAGACATCTACAGAAAAGCCATCTGCCACCACACCAATAACAGGTACACACCACCTCATAAAATTAAGCAGATTCAGCAGCCTCAATAAGTGAGGAGTCAAATAACAGCTGGACTAAGCATATCATTCACAGCCATATTAAATATTCAGTGACAGAGACATCTACAATAGGGCAACCTGGCACCAAAGGTACAGTTGTTTCATTCAGATCTTTCAGCAGGTACGGCACCTACAACGGGTATTGTGTCAACAGCACAAATACCACCAATGTCCTCAGAAACGACAAATGCAATTGGATTCTCACCATCACCATCATCCACAGCTGGCAGTGTATCTCCAGAAACTGAGACATCTACAGAAAAGCCATCTGCCACCACACCAGTAACAGGTACCCATAAATATTCTCACCTCCTTCAACGGCACCATCAAGAAGTGAGGAGTCTATAACATTAATAACAACTGGCCTGAGCATGTCATTCACAGCCATTATTGTACCTTCAGTGACTTAGACATCTATAGTGGAATTGTCTACCGCAGTAAGTACAGCTGATTCATTCTCATCTCTTTCAACAGGTACGGCACCTACAACGGGTATTGTGTCAACAGCACAAATACCACCAATGTCCTCAGAAACGACAAATGCAATTGGATTCTCACCATCACCATCATCCACAGCTAGCAGTGTATCTCCAGAAATTGAGACATCTACAGAAAAGCCATCTGCCACCACACCAGTAACAGGTACCCATAAATATTCTCACCTCCTTCAACGGCACCATCAAGAAGTGAGGAGTCTATAACATGAATAACAACTGGCCTGAGCATGTCATCCACAGCCATTATTGTACCTTCAGTGACTTAGACATCTATAGTGGAATTGTCTACCGCAGTAAGTACAGCTGATTCATTCTCATCTCTTTCAACAGGTACGGCACCCACAATGGGTATTATGTCAACAGCACAAATACTTCCAATGACCTCAGTAACTACAAATGCAATTGAAATATCACCATCACCATCACCATCATCCACAGCTGGCAGTGTATCTCCAGAAACAGAGGCATCTATGGAAAAGTCATCTGCTACCTCACCAGTAACAGATACCCCTGAATCATTCTCACCACCTTCAACAGGTACAAAACTTTCAATAGATGGGGTGGCAATAACACAAATAACATCTGGTTTAATCACATCATCAATGGAAAGTGTATTTACATTAATGTATCCCCCTACACAAACACTTATCAATGGCATCTTTCAACACATATTGCACTCAGTAAGGGAGATATCAATCAGGGAGATAATAATAATCCTTGCATTTGATATAGCGCCATATCACGTCTTTGAGATGTCTCATAAAGGTTCACAAAATATACTATAAAGCGAATTGACTGTATATTTTATCCACAAAACGCGGCAGCCAATTGCGCACAGCAATGTCCTACAAACATTTATGATGGTGGGAACACAGTTGCTGAAGGCCAAGCTTTCAACAACTGTCAATCTACCTATTTGTCCGGCTCTCTCTCTTTTTATTAAATAGTACATCAAAATTATCTCTTCATCCATGCATATGGTTTTAATCCAGGATTTGATGTCTGACAGACATTCTGTCAGGACAGCAGTGGTCCTGGAGTTGGGTGTCATCTGTATACATGTCTGCGGATGATGTCACCAAGAGGGAGCACATAGATATTCAAGAGGAGGGGACCAAAGACAGAGCTCCGAGGAATGTCTCACGAGACGTTGCGGGGGCTGGAGGAGAAACAGTTGTGGAGATGAAGTGGAGATGGTGTGAGAGGTTGGATCTGAACCATTCAAGGACAGAACCATGAAAGTTGAAGTGAGAGGAGAGATAGAAGGGAGCAGAGAGGCAACAGCATCAAAGGCAGCAGAGAGGTCAAGGGGGACGAGGAGGCAGAGGCAGCCCTGGTCCCAGATGGACAAAATGTCATTTGTCACTTTTACCAAAGCTGTTTCTTTGCTATGGGAGGCATGGAAACACGATTGGAGGGGATCATGAAGGGAGTGGTGGAAGCAGAAGGAGCGAAGCTGGGAAGTAGTAACTCATTCCAGGACCTTGGAAAGGAAACGGAGGTTGGAGATGGGATGCTAGTTGGAGAGCAGGGATTAATCCAGGGAGGTATTTTAAGAATAGGAGTGATGACAGCCATTTTTAAAGCGATGGGAACGGTGCCAGTGGACAGGGAAAGGTTTCTGATGTCTGTGAGTAGAGGAGCAAGGAGGTGGAGCTGAGAGGTAAAGAGAGGGCTAGGGCTGGGATCGAGGGAGCAGGTGGTCGGTTTCATGCGGATTATAGTGGTGGCGAGAGAGGAGTGGGAGACAGGTTCAAAGGAACGTAAGTAGGAAGCAATAGAATAGACTGAGAAGAACAAGAGGGCACAGGCTGCAGCTCAAGAGGATGGGAGATGAGAACTGGAGAAGATCACGGAGGTGAAAGGATTGTGAAAGGATTTGAGTATTAAATTTGTGGTATTTCTTCATAGATTTCTTAATTGTGAATATTACTGACTGCCAGAAACTACACACACACTAAATCAGCTCATTCCCCGAATGGGATTCCCTCATGAGGGAGTTGCGTGCGAGAAGTACTGCCAATTATCGGATGGAGTCCCATTTGGATTTCCTAATTAGGAGATCCATTAAGTCATACTACAAAATGAACTCTAATAGTTCAAATATGTATAAACACCTCAATAATGAACCACAGAACAGGGTTAATATCTGCTCCATCATGGGCTACTGCTTGCAAACATTCACTTATTATCAAATCAAACTTATCGTCCTCATCAGTGAGGACCTCCATGGTTGTGGAACGGACCGTATTAACAGGCTGAACTACCTGCTCCTATTGCTATGTTGTTTCCAATTATTTTAGTTCACCCAGGGCGCGCCTGTTCAATGAGTACACATTTGCAATGCAATTCTCCAAAGTAACAGGACAGACAGGAAATAAATCAATATTTCTTTCTCAGAAACCCCATACTGATTTTGAAACTGTAAAGCACAAATGTTTTTACCAAGCAAAAGCTTGTTAATTGGGTTTGAAGCTGAATCCATATCAGCACTTTTGACAGCATTTATTATAGCAACTTTCAGGTCTGAGTGGTAGCCCGACCTGAGAGGGAGTAAGGGAAATTGGCCAAGGACAAAATCAAAGAGATAGTTTTTTACAGCTCAGAAGGAGGCCATTTGGCCCATCAGATCTATGCTGGCGGTCTATAATAGCTACCCATTCAGTCAGACACAATGGCTTCCTTCTGTCCTGTGAGGTCCTGATTCGTGGAGTCCTGTTAGTGTTAGAGCACTTGCCTTGCAAATGAGAGGAACTGGGTTTGATTCCTGGGAAGGGTGTAACGTCAGGCAAATTTCCTTACTCCACACATCTCTGTTTACCTAACAGTAAACATAAGCCCAATTGTTAGTTGATTGGCAGATCGCTTTTCCAGGGTAATAATCCCTTTAAAAAAATGTGGTCACTCAATCCACGACTGTTTGTGGGACATTGCTTTGCACAACTGGCTGCTACGTTTCGCCCACAAAATATAGTCAATTCACTTTCCAGTATAGTCTGTGAAGCACTTTGAGAAATCTCAAAGATGTGATAAGCGCTATAGAAACATAGGAGTAGGCCAGTCAGCCCCTTGAGCCTATTCTATAAGATCATGGCCGATCTTTACCTCAAGTACAATTACCCGCCATTGCCCCGTATCTCTTAATAATAATAATTCCTTGCATTTAATACCCTGACCTAACAAATATCAAATGCAAGGATTATTATTATTCTAGATAGTTTTTAAGTGTTGATTTCTTTTTTTCTACAAGACCTATAGTTAGCAGTGAATCAACAATGGCATCAAACGGAATTAGTTTCAGTCAATCATCTATTTCAGTGGTGGCCAGATTACATCTCCCAGGTAATGGGCATGGCGGCATATACAAGCCAGGCACCACCAGAGATTGCTACATCAGAAAATGTGACATCTTCCCAGAGAAGTGATGCAATAACACATACAAGCATTGGAGAGCAGATCATCTCAAACAGAGAGTTCCCCCAAATGGCATTGCCAGCTCAGTTGAGTTCAGATCTCAGTATATTCAAGCTGTAAAGTGCTTTGTTCAGGCCGCAATAAATACTGCACACAATCAAGTCACTGCAAGTTAAAGTGTATGACGACGCTCTCGAGGCAGTGAAGAGTAGAGCAATGAGAATGACTCCCATTGTTAGAGGAATGTGCTTTTGTATGTAAATATGTATGTATCGGTGTGTGGGGTGGGGTGGGGGGGGGGGTGGGTGCATATATATGTATTTGTATTTGTTTGCGTGTGCATGTGTTGATGTATTTTCTACATGTCTGTCTGTGTGCATATTATAATAATAATAATAATCCTTGCATTTGATATAGCGCTTTTCACGTCGGGAGGACGTCCCATAATAATCTTTGCGTTTGATATCGTGCCTTATCATGTCTTCGAGACGTCTCAAAGTGCTTCACAGAATATACCGTAAAGCGGATTGACTGTTTATTTTGTGAGTGAAACGTGGCTGCCAATTGTGCACATGCATGGGCTGCATGCAGGAGTCCTCGTATCTGGGTGTGGCAGGTGTTCATTTCAAGACATTCCTCTTTGACCGCGGCTTTGGTCACCCACACACACAAACACCCCTTGGTACCCCACCCGTTCCCGAATTCAACCCCTAGTTCAAGTAGTCCTGTAGCTCAGTGGTTAGAGCACTCGCTTTGCAAGCGAGAGACCTGAGTTCAATTCCAGGCAGAGGGCGAAACCTTGGGCAAGTTTCCTTACTCCACACAGAGCCTAATAATAATCCCTACAAAAAACCCAAAACAATAATAAATTGGTCATTTTCAATCTACGACTGTTTGTGGGACATTGCTGTGCGCAATTGGCTGCCTTGTTCGCCCACAAATATACAGTCAATTCACTTTACAGTGTGTTCTGTGAAGTGCTTTGGGACGTCCTCCCGACGTGAAAAGCGCTATATCAAATGCAAGGATTATTATTATTATTATTAAGTACAGACCATCAACTGCCCAGCGCCTGAGAACATCCTCCCGATGTGAAGGGCGCTTTATAAATATAACTTGTTATTGTTTTCATCTATGAGCATGACGTACCCCTTTGAGCGAGTGAGATAATCGACCTGAATTTAGCAGATGATTATAGCTCTTATCTAGGATTTACAATACCACTGCTTTAATTTACTTCTGCTGCACGCAACAAAGCCTCAACATTACAAGAGCGTGAAAAACAAATACTTAACAAACTATCCTTTTTAAAATGCCTCGGCCTTTTATTTTTGCCTTAGATTCCACCCCTAACTCAGCAGCAGATACGTATTCAAAGACAACTGGTGAAGCTGCCTCGGGCTCTTCAGCTACTGTCGGCCACACCACTCCTGCTATCATCCAGATTGGCACGTCCACTGCACTGACTGCTCCCACTGCCAGCCCATCTAGTTCCACCATAACCACCCAAAACATTACCCCTGCTAACACCTTGGCCATCAGCGACATTACTGGTAACACTGGTAGTAATACCCCTAGCATTAGTAGCTCTGTCCTGAGTATTAATACCAATATTGCCACCACTCAGCTCAATACACCCCGTGACTCCACCCCTGAGACCAAACCCACCCCTGAGACCACTGCAAATACCACTCCTTCCATCACCCCCACCACCATGTTCACCACCCCCAACACCCCCGACACCACCCGGAACAGCAGCCCCAACAGTACCCCCAATACCCCTGACACCACCTCCAACAACACCCCTGACACAACCACCCCAGACACCACTCCCGGCACCACTATCCCCGGCACCACTAGCCCCGGCACCACTAGCCCCACCATCACCCCCGACACCACCCCTACCATTGCCCCCGGCACCAACCCCAATACCACCCCGGACACCACTAGCCCTGACATCACTAACCCAGACACCACCCCTACCATCACCCTCGACAACAACCCCAAAACTACCACCGACACCACATCCACTGCACTGGCTGCTCCCACGGACAGCACATACAGTTCCACCATAATTACCCCCAGCACCATCCCCGACACGACTACCCCCGACACCACCCCAACCATTACCCCCGACACCAGCTCCGACACCACTATCCCCGACACCACCCCCACCATCACCCCCAATACCAGCCCCGACACCACCCCCACCATTACCCCCGACACCAGCTCCGACACCACTATGCCCGACACCACCACCACCATCACCCCCAATACCAGCCCCGACACCAGCCCCGACAGTACCCCAGACACCACATCCACTGCACTGACAGCTCTCACTGCCAGCCCATCTAGATCCACCAGAACCACCCAAAACATCAACTCTGCTGCGATCACCAATGCTAACGCCATGGTCATCAGTGGCATTACTGGTAACACTGATAGTAATATCCCTGAGACCAACCCCACCCCTGAGACCACAGCAAACACTACTCCATCCATCACCCCCACTACCATGTTCAGCACCTCTGACACCCCCAACACCACCCCGAACATCACCCCCGACACCAACACCACCGACACCACTTCCGGCACCACCCCCGAGACCACTACATCCGACACCAACCCCACTATCACTCCTGACACCAGCCCCACCAACAACACCAGCTACAGCACCAACACCGTCACCAATGCTTACACAACTACCCCCGACAACACCCCCGACACCACTACACTCGACACCAACACCACCACCCCCACCACAATCCCAGACACCACCGCCGACATCACCCCCGGCACCACCGCTGACACCAACCCCAGCACTACCCCTACCACCACCGACCACAACCCCGACGCCACCACTGACACCACTACCCGCGACACTACTATCCCCGACACCACATCTACCACTACCACCAACACCACCACCACCCCCGACACCACTATCCCCGAAACTACTACCCCTGACACCACTAACACCAACACCACCGCCGACATCACCCCCACCAACACCACCCCCAGCACTACCCACACACCACTCCCAACTCCATCACAACCTCCAGCACTACCCCTACCACCACCACCACCACGGACACTAACCATGAACCCACCACTGACACCATTACCCCCGACACCACCTCGACCACCACCCCCAACACCACCCCGAACAGCACCCCCGACACCACCACCACCGACACCACCCCGACCATCACTCCTGACACCAGCCCCACTATCAACACCAGCTCCAGCACCAACACTGTCACCAATGCTGACACATCTAGCCCCGACAACACCCCCGACACCACTGCACTCGACACGAAAACCACCACCACCAACACCACCATCCCAGACACCACCGCCAACATCACCCCCGACATCACTGCTGACACCACCCCCAGCACTACCCCTATCACCACCACCGACAACAACCCCGACGACACCACTGACACCACTACCCGCGACACTACTACCTCCGACACCACATCTACCACTACCACCACCCCCAACACCATCCCCGACACCACTAACCCCGAAACCACTAAGCCCGACACAACCGCCGACATCAACCCCACCAACACTATCCCCAGCACTACTCACACCATCACTCCCAACACCATCACAACCTCCAGCACTAACCCTACCACCACCACGGACACCAACCCTGACCCCACCACTGACACCGTAACCCCCGATACTACCTCTACCACCACCCCCAACACCACCCCAAACAGCACGCCCGACACCACCACCACCGACACCACCCCTACCATCACTCTAGACACCAGCTCCAGCACCAACACTGTCATCAATGCTAACACAACTACCCCCAACAGCATCCCCGACACCACTACACTCGACACCAACCCTACCATCACTCTTGACACCAACTCCAGCACCAACACTGTCATCAATGCTGACACAACTACCCCCAACAGCATCCCCGACACCACTACACTCGACACCAACATCTCCACCACCATTCCAGACACCACGGCCGACATCACCCCCAACACCACCGCTGACACCACACCCAGCACTACCCCTACCACCACCACCGACAATAACCCTGACGCCACCACTGACACCACTACCCCTGACACTACTACCCCTGACACCACATCTACCACTACCACCACCCCCGACACCACTACCCCCGACACCACAAACCCCAACACCAACCCCACCACCACCGCCGACATCATCCCCACCAACACCACCCCCAGCACTACCCACACCACTACTCCCAACACCATCACAACCTCCAGCTCTACCCTTACCACCACCACGGACACCAAACCTGACCCCACCACTGACACCAACACCCCCGACACCACCCCGAACAGTACCCCCGATACCACCACCACCGACACCAACTCCGGCACCAACCCCGACACCACTACCCCCGACCCCAACCATACCACCACCACCGAAACCAACCCCGACCCCACCACTGACACCACTACCCCTGACACCACCTCTACCACCACCACCACCATCCCCGACATCAGCCCTGACAACACCACACCCGACACCACCCCCACCATCACTACTGACACCAGCTCTGACACAACTACACACGACACCACCCCCACTATCACTCCTGACACCAGCCCTACCATCAACACCAGCTCCAGCACCAACATCGTCACCAATGCTGGCACAACTAACCCCGACAACACCCCCGACACCACTACACTCGACACCAACACCACCACCCCCACCACCATTCCAGACACCACGGCCGACATCACCCCCAACACCACCGCTGACACCACCCCCAGCACTACCCCTACCACCACCACCGACAACAACCCCGACGCCACCACTGACACCACTACCCGCGACACTACTACCTCCGACACCACATTTACCACTACCACCACCCCCAACACCACCCCCGACACCACTAACCCCGACACCACTAAGCCCGACACAACCGCCGACATCAACCCCACCAACACCATCCCCAGCACTACTCACACCATCACTCCCAACACCATCACAACCTCCAGCACTAACCCTACCACCACCATGGACACCAACCCTGACCCCACCACTGACACCGTAACCCCCGATACTACCTCTACCACCACCCCCAACACCACCCCAAACAGCACTCCCGACACCACCACCACCGACACCACCCCTACCATCACTCTAGACACCAGCTCCAGCACCAACACTGTCATCAATGCTGACACAACTACCCCCAACAACACCCCGACACCACTACACTCGACACCAACACCAACACCCCCACCACCATTCCAGACACCACGGCCGACATCACCCCCAACACCACCGCTGACACCACACCCAGCACTACCCCTACCACCACCACCGACAATAACCCCGACGCCACCACTGACACCACTACCCCTGTCATTACTACCCCTGACACCACATCTACCACTACCACCACCCCCGACACCACTACCCCCGACACCACTACCCCCGACACCAACCCCACCACCACCGCCGACATCATCCCCACCAACACCACCCCCAGCACTACCCACACCACTACACCCAACACCATCACAACCTCCAGCTCTACCCTTACCACCAACACGGACACCAACCCTGAACCCACCACTGACACCAACACCCCCGACACCACCCTGAACAGTACCCCCGATACCACCACCACCGATACCAACTCCGGCACCACACCCGACATCACTACCCCTGACCCCAACCATACCACCACCACCGAAACCAACCCCGACGCCACCACTGACACCACTACCCCTGACACCACCTCTACCACCACCACCACCACCCCCGACATCAGCCCTGACAACACCACACCCGACACCACCCCCACCATCACCACTGACACCAGCTCTGACACAACTACACACGACACCACCCCCACTATCACTCCTGACACCAGCCCTACCATCAACACCAGCTCCAGCACCAACACCGTCACCAATGCTGGCACAACTATCCCCGACAACACCCCCGAAACCACTGCACTCAACATCAACACCACCACCATCCCAGACACCACCGCCGACATCACCCCCGACACCACCGCTGATACCACCCCCAGCACTACCCCTACTACCACTACTGACACTACTATCCCTGACATCACATCTACCATTACCACTACCCCCAACACCACCCCAAACACCACCACCAGCCCCAACACCACCCCAAACAGCACGCCCGACACCACCACCACCGACACCACCCCTACCATCACTCTTGACACCAGCTCCAGCACCAACACTGTCATCAATGCTGACACAACTACCCCCAACAACACCCCCGACACCACTACACTCGACACCAACACCACCACCCCCACCACCATCCCAGACACCACGGCCGACATCACCCCCAACACCACCGCTGACACCAACCCCAGCACTACCCCTACCACCACCACCGACAACAACCCCGACGCCACCACTGACACCGCTACCCGCGACACTACTACCTCCGACACCACATATACCACTACCACCACCCCCAACACCACCCCCGACACCACTAACCCCGACACCACTAAGCCCGACACAACCGCCGACATCAACCCCACCAACACTATCCCCAGCACTACTCACACCATCACTCCCAACACCATGACAACCTCCAGCACTAACCCTACCACCACCACGGACACCAACCCTGACCCCACCATTGACACCGTAACCCCCGATACTACCTCTACCACCACACCCAACACCACCCCAAACAGCACGCCTGACACCACCACCACCGACACCACCCCTACCATCACTCTAGACACCAGCTCCAGCACCAACACTGTCATCAATGCTGACACAACTACCCCCAACAACACCCCCGACACCACTACACTCGACACCAACACCAGCACCCCCACCACCATTCCAGACACCACGGCCGACATCACCCCCAACACCACCGCTGACACCACACCCAGCACTACCCCTACCACCACCACCGACAATAACCCCGACGCCACCACTGACACCACTAGCCCTGACACTACTACCCCTGACACCACATCTACCACTACCACCACCCCCGACACCACTACCCCCGACACCACAAACCCCGACACCAACCCCACCACCACCGCCGACATCATCCCCACCAACACCACCCCCAGCACTACCCACACCACTACTCCCAACACCATCACAACCTCCAGCTCTACCCTTACCACCACCACGGACACCAACCCTGACCCCACCACTGACACCAACACCCCCGACACCACCCCGAACAGTACCCCCGATACCACCACCACCGACACCAACTCCGGCACCACCCCCGACACCACTACCCCCGACCCCAACCATACCACCACCACCGAAACCAACCCCGACCCCACCACTGACACCACTACCCCTGACACCACCTCTACCACCACCACCACCACCCCCGACATCAGCCCTGACAACACCACACCCGACACCACCCCCACCATCACCACTGACACCAGCTCTGACACAACTACACACGACACCACCCCCACTATCACTCCTGACACCAGCCCTACCATCAACACCAGCTCCAGCACCAACACCGTCACCAATGCTGGCACAACTACCCCCGACAACACCCCCGAAACCACTGCACTCAATACCAACACCACCACCTCCACCACCATCCCAGACACCACCGCCGACATCACCCCCGACACCACCCCCAGCACTACCCCTACTACCACTACCGACACTACTACCCCTGACATCACATCTACCACTACTCCCAACACCACCCCCAACACCACCACCAGCCCCGATACCACCCCCAACACCACTACCCCCGACACCAACCCCACCACCACCGCCAACATCACCCCTGACATCACTGCCAACACCACCCCCAGCACTACCCACACCACCACCCCCGATGCCAACCCTGTCATAACCCCCAGCACTACCCTTATCACCACCAACCCCGACACCACCACTGACACCACTACCCCCGAAATCACCCCCGACACTACCCCTGACACCGCCCCGACTGTCACTCCTGACACCAGCCCAACCACCACCCTCAACACCACCCCTGACAATACTATCCCCCACACCATCTCCACCATCATTCCTGGTACCACCCCCACCAACACCCCCACTACCATCCCCAGCACCAGCCCAGACACCATCTCCAGCACCAACGCTGATACTACTACCCCTGACAGCACCCCCGACACCACCACCCCAGACACCACAAACGCTGGCATTACCCCCGACACCACTACCTCCAACACCAACCCCAGCACTACCCACACCACCACCCCCGACACCACCCCGACACCACCACTACCCACACCACCACCCCCGACACCACCACCCCTGATACCACCACTCCCGACATCACCTCTACCCCCACCACCACCACCACACCTGACACCACCCCCAGCAACAATCCTACGACCACCCCCGACATCACCCCCGACACTACCGCCAACAACACCCCCAGCACAACCCACACCACCACCCCCGACACCAAACCCGTCACAAAGCCCAGCACTACCCCTACCACCACCCCCGAAACCAACCCTGTTACAACCCCCAGCACTACCCCTACCACCACCACCGACACCAACCCTGACATCACCACTGGCACCATTACCCCCGACACCACCTCGTTCACCACCACCATCCCTGACATCAGCCCTGACACAACCCCCAGCTCTACCCCGACCGCCATTCCCAACACCACTACCCCTGACACCACCTCTACCACAACCACCACACCCGACATCACTCCCACCATCACTCCTGACACCACCCCCACCATCACTACTGATACCACCCCCACCATCACTACTGACACCACCCCCACCACCACCCCCAGCAGCAGCCCAGATACAATTTCCAGCACCAACTACACCACTACCCCCAACAACATCCCCGACACCACTACCCCTGACAACACGCCCAACAACACGACCACCGACACCAACCACAGCCCCCCCACTACCACCCCAGACACCACCGCCGACACCACCCCCAGCACTAACCCTACCTCCACCACCAACACCAACCCCGACATCACCACTGACACCATTACCCCCAACACCACCTCTACCACCACCAACACCACCATTGACACCACCCCTGACACCACCTCTGACACCACTACCCCCAACACCACTCCCAATACCACTACCCCCAACACCACTACTGACACGACTACCTCCAACACCACCTCTACCACCACCACCCCCGACACCACCTCCGACACCACCTCTGACACCACTACCCCCAATGCCAGCCCCAACACCACTACCCCCAACACCACTACTGACACGACTACCCCCGACACCACCTCTACCACCAACACCATCCCCGACACCACCTCTGACACTACTACCCCAAACACCACTACTGACACCACTATTCCCGACACCACCTCTACCACCACCCCCGAAGCCACCCCCATCACCATCCCCACTTCCAGCACCACCTCCAGCTCCAGCACCACCCCCAACACCACCCCCAGCCCCAGCACAACCCCCAGGCCCAGCACCAGCCCCAGGCCCAGCACCAGCCCCAGGCCCAGCACCAGCCCCAGGCCCAGCACCAGCCCCATCCCCAATACCAGCCCCATCCCCAATACCAGCCCCATCCCCAGCACCAGCCCCAGGCCCAGCACCAGCCCCAGGCCCAGCACCAGCCCCAGGCCCAGCACCAGGCCCAGGCCCAGCACCAGCCCCAGGCCCAGCACCAGCCCCAGGTCCAGCACCAGCCCCAGGACCAGCCCCAGGCCCAACACCAGCCCCAGGCCCAGCACCAGCCCCAGGCCCAGCACCAGCCCCATCCCCAACACCAGCCCCATCCCCAACACCAGCCCCATCCCCAACACCAGCCCCATCCCCAGCCCCAGCCCCATCCCCAGCCCCAGCCCCATCCCCAGCCCCAGCACCAGCACCAGACCCAGCACCAGCACCAGACCCAGCACCAGCACCAGACCCAGCACCAGACCCAGCACCACCACCAGACCCAGCACCACCACCAGACCCAGCCCCATCACTAGCCCCAGGACCAGCCCCAGGACCACCTCCATCCCCAGCACTACCCCCAGCCCTATCCCTAGCACCATTCCCACTCCCATTACCATCAAACCCACCACCACCCACAGTACTACTACCCCCACCACCATCCTGAAGACCACCCCTAAAACTACCCCCAACACTACCTCCAAGACAACCCCGAAAACTGCCCCCAACACCACGACCCTCACCACAACCACAACCACAGTCAATAACGGACCCTGTGGTAAGTAACTGGATATAATTGTTTTCAGTAACTAATGACTTTGCCACAATCTACTGAATTTAATAAGATGTCATGCAAGATTCACACAATGGTTGTTAGAAAGTATTAAATCAAAATGCAAAGAAAAGATGATTGTTCCCCCAATAATCTTTGGGTGGTGCTGAACATATCAGGAGTGTGTCTTGGGTGAAAAATACAGTACTGTATGTGATAACTAGCCCAGTGAAGTGCCATCTTCTTTCATCCCCTGATGCGCTGAGGTTTTGTCTAGTTAAATCAGCAATTACCTCCAACACACACTCTGCGGTCCCAAGCCTTGGCTCTTGCCAAGCTGCTTTCCTTAATTAAGTAAAAAGAGTGTGTCCCTCCAGGCAGAGAGTTTGCATTCCATTCCAGGCAAAGGGGAAATTTCCATATGTAGATGGTGTGCAATATGCAGAAATCTCTGGTTTGGATTCTCTTGAAGATGCTGATGGGTTTCCCCATGTGTCAGACACCCAGCTGGCCCCCAACCAAACCCACCATGCACCCTCCCAAAAAAATCCCTTTCCACACACAGCAAAGCACATTCTGTCTTGTAACAACTCTCTGTGTGAAAGCAATCTGCTAACCCCTGACGCTTCCCATTAAAAGTTGAGATCAGTGACTGATTGGGAAATCAGTTCTGAAGTGTTACATATTCATGTCTATGTTCTTGCCTTTTTTTTAACTTTAACCTCACCCCTCTCGCTCTCTTTCAGTTGAATTAATCTTAGTTCCAAAGATTGATGCGGTGACTGGCACCAGTGTAACAGTCTCCTGGGAGGCTACTCATGGAGCTCGTGAATCCCCTTATCAGGTCTCAATCAGTGTCAAACAAGATGTTATTAAAACGAATGAGACAGTAGTGAAGTTCACAGATCTGAGTCCTGATGTTTTCTACAACATTACCATAGAGGTGACATCTTGCAGTAAAAGGATAAGTAAAAGGCTTGGCATCAGGACAGGTAATTATCCAACGGTAACAATCACTTACAACTTATCCCGTACCTTTCAGATCTAGCAAATGTCATAAAAGGCTTCAAACTGGGATTAACCCCCAAAAGCCTTATGTTTAATCACTAAAGCGCACAATTTACATTTAAATAATAATAAATTGTCCATATTATACAATACATTTCATGCTGGGAGGACATCTCAAAGCGCTTACAGGATTTCACAGTGAAGAGTTGTAGCTGTATTTTGTAGGCGAATGTGACAACTAATTGGCACACAGCAACGTCCTACACACAGGCATGAAGTGAATGATTTTAACTTGCGTTTTTAACTCTTCGTTTTGTACAAAGATGCCAGAGTGTTGACGGGGTTCACAAGAATTACAAGTGAGACTTACACAAGTGCCTATGCAGATAAATCCAGTCCAGAATATAGGAAATTTGAGATAAAATTCACTGATGCTGTAAGTTACTCCGTGTTTTCTTTCTCCGGATGCTTCTCTTCCGTAAAATGAATTATAAGATAAAGTTATAAATATTATTGTGTCAACCTCCAATTGTGCAATGCTTCCCCCACAGCGCATTCATGTATTAGCCTAGACTGTGGGCTCAAGGTCCCGATGCGGGGTTTGAACCCACAACCTTCTGACTCACATGCAAGAATGCCACCGACAAACATCTGATACCTAATTAGCATTAGATTAAAGTAATGCCAGCATTAAGTGACAACTGCACTGTGTATACACTGTGCTGTATAAATGTAAATTGTTGCTCTTATCTTGTTAAGTCTGCTTGCCAAAGCTTTGATACGCAGAGAGGTTTTCCATGGCAAGCAGTAGGAGACTAGGCAGACAGTGTTTGCAGTGGCAAGTTTGGCTGATTAAAAATCATTAGTTACCCCAAACACGTGCTCTGGATTCCCCCGAACCTTGACTCTCATCGACCTGCTTTCAGAATGTGTTTCCAAGATTATCAGAATAGTTCAGATCAAGAAGGCCCTTCAGTCTCATTCCTCCAGAATCCCCACTTGCTGTCCCTCTGTCAAGGCACCAAACTACTTTTAAATGAATCTAAAGTCCTGAGCTTAACCACCTTCCTAGTAATAGTTTTCCAGTCATTAATTAAAGAAAAACTTCCTAGTGTCTATCCTGAATTTGCCCTTTGTAGTTCTTAACCTATTTCCTTTTATTCTGCTGTCTCAGTGTATTCTAAAGCACTGTTCTGGGTTTACTTTTGTCAATCCCCTTTAAAATGTAATGCACCCATTCGGAAATTCCCAAGTGCAGGTGGCATGGTAGGTGTAAGGTCGTTCACAAACACACAGTCGCTACACTTTACAGTATATCCTGCGAAGCACTTTGAGACGTATCGAAGACGCAATAAGGCGCTATATCAAATGCAAATGCAGGGATTACGTTTTCGGAATTCTCAGTAGGATTTGCACACTCTTAACCAGAGCAATGGGTTGCTGTGTGGGTCAGACACTCTCTCGCCCACCCCCACCCCCCAAAAAAAAGAAAGTGCTATGATGCCCGTCTGGGACATTAAAGATCTCATTATACTACTGGAAAAGAGAATGGAGTTCCTCCAAGTGTCCTAACCAACAAATCCCTCAGAAAAAATGATTATTTACTTCATGGCCACACATAGGCCCTTGCTGTCTAATACAGGTATTATATTTTAATAAACATTACTGTATATAATACTGTGTAATGTTGCAATACGGCTGCTTCGTTTGCCTACAGATACCATCTCTGCAATTGACAGCAATTACCTTTGAAGCACTTTTGAGGTGTTTTGGCATATAAAGGCGTTGCATTGAATGCGAGGATTGTTATTGTAACTTGCCAAAATAGCAACTCGATAAATGAATCATTAGATTGTGTAATTTAGGAATACTATTTTTTTCGATACTTTTAAGCATGGTGATGGATTTCCACACCTGGGAAAAAAAACCTTGATCCATCCAAATTATATTATTGTGTGTATTTTTTTTGCTCGTTTCAGATCATAATGGAACTTCCTCCAAACTTACAGAAACTAAACATGACTGGAAGTTTGACAATCGTAATATTTCTAATCACATCAGGGAGCGTGAACGTTTCATTTGATATTGCGTATCCAGAAAACATGAACCTCACTGATGAAGCTGTCAAAATATTATTTGCAGATGCTTTGTTGAAAACTCCGGTCTTTAACTTAACCATACATGGTAAGAAATGTCCTAATGAAGAGGAAAGTAAAGAGAAACTTGCATTGTGGATATGCTCTTATGTCTTAGAGTCCTTCACACCTTGGTCTGTCAAGTGTTGTTGGCAGGCAAACACAGCAATTGGTCCACAAACAGCCAAGGACCCATTTAAAAAGCAGCGTAATATTATGCTGGGAGGACAGTAGGCTTGGTGTTCTGGATGGATGAGATCAGATGGGACCAAGGGCCTTCTTCATCCGAACCGATCTTGAGATCTTGTGAAGAGCAGCACCTTTGATAATGCAGTGTTCTCTTCCCTACCCCCAACATCCTCCACCCCCTTCCCCCGACACTACTATGGAGCAGCACCAGCCTATTCTGAATTTTGCTGCAGAAGCAGTAATTCTGGCCACCACAATAAATCGTTCATTCATCTATCACGCTATGAGATTAGATTGGCCGAAGGGTCTTGTGATCTTGAGCGACGCGGCTAATTCAGCTGCAAGATTATTAGTCAGCTCCTCTTTATCGAATGGGTATACTGGGATCCGTAACATTCACCCAAGAACAGGCAGACAGGGTGGCAGATGGGCATCTTTTCCGAAGGGCAACGTTTCCGAAAACACAGCTGTGCATCAGAACGCCGCAGTGTGGGTCTTGAATTCACAACCTCAGGGAATAGAAGGGTATGGGAGGGAGTAAGAAACGAGTGGAATATAACTGCCAACACGTACTAGTTTGGCCGAATGGCCAGTTTCTGTGCTGTAGAATCTATGTAAATCTATGTAAAGCTACCACCCCAGAAGCGACAGCGCTACCTCCTGAGCCAGACTGACTCCAAAAAGTGTCATAGATTATACATATTATAAATCCATCCCAGCTCAATACAACTAAAATTCTCCTTGATGTTCGAATAATAGTTGGCGCTGGAAAAATCTATTGTTCAGCAGTTAACATCGGATTCCTGTCAGCGCTTAAGGTTTGGTGGTCTGCTCTGGGCTTTTCTTTACCTATCGGTGTGTTTTTCAGACATTACAGGAAGAAACAGTTGCATGAGAAAGTTGGACGACTGTTCAGAAAATGCAAACTGCGCAGCGAACAATACAGTTTACACTTGCCAGTGCAAACCTGGATTTGAAGACACAAGTCCCAACAGGCCTGGAAGGATATGCCTAGGTACAATGTTTCACTAAACTTTAAACAGGGGGCAAAACCAGAAGTCGCTGGGAATACTCAGCAGGTCAGGTAGCATCTATGGAGAAAGGAAAGTGAGTCACTTGCAAGTGAGTCAGAGTTTTGACTCACTCTCTGCTCTCCATAGATGCTGCCTGACCTACTGAGTGTTCCCCGTGACTTCTGTTTTTGTTTCAGATTTCCAGCATCTGCAGTATTTTGCATTTTGTTTAAACAGGGGGCCTTGGGTAACTAAGAGAAAGAAAAATCCTTACATTTGTTATAGCCCCTTGAAAGGTGATGTACCAAAGGAAGTCCGAAGCACTTCACAGGATATACTGTAAACTGTAGTGACTGTGGTTATATTGTAGGCAAATACAATTTTGCACACAACAATGTCCCACAAATATCCATGAAGTGAATGACCAGAAGTCCAATGCTCACAAACCAAAATAGGTTAGATGCCCCATCTAGGGGCAAAAGATTACAATAATACTGACGTGACCTCATGTCAAGGAAGAATTCTCAAAAAGATAGGCAGAAATTCCACTTGGGTCTAGACTTTGACTTTATGCTTAGTATTTTAGAGGGTGCTTACTTTGAGCAATTCTTAAATTTGGTCTTGGTGATGAAGCTGTTTTTTTTTCTTTAGCTTCTTTTGTGCCTCCGAAAATTAAAGACCGGATTTTAGAATTGTCCACAGTTTGCACGGTCCAAAACTCCTGAGGGAGTCGGAAATTCTGAAGAGGCATTTTCCACTTCCTGGAAAAAGAAGGCGGCCTAGAGGTTATTTAATGCCAGGGTAAACTAATGAATCACCAAAACGCCGGGTTTGAGCGTCCACAAATCTTACCCCTATGTATCTATTGATCATTCCAAATCAGGTCCAAATCCCTGACTGTCCAGCACCTTGGGACATTCTCCCAACGTGAAAGGCACTTTACAAATGTAATTTTGTATTGTATTGTATTCACTTTGTCAATCTGACTTTAAATCCTACTTAAAAATCTACCTTTTCAACTGGGTTTATGGTCATCTTCTCCCCACCCCTCCCACCACCCCGCTTCCTCTTGCTCGGTGTCAAACCCCACCATCGTACAACGCTCTGAGTTGTTACCCTATTTGAATAAATGCAAGTTGTTATTCTTTATCTGAATCCTTCTCTTTCAATCCTTTAATTAATTGTGTATTGTGATTGCGATCATGCTAAGAACTCTCTCTCTCTCCTTTTTTATAGCAGCTCCAAACATCCCAACAACCGAACCCCCGACCCGGCCCACAGATGACACAGAATGGAAAGTGGCTGTGATAGTTCTGGGTGTTTTATTGGGTGTTGCAATTTTAATTACTTTGGCAACGCTCACAGCAGTCATGTGTATTCCTCGAAGAAGTAGGCAGTACCAAGTTAACACCAAATTGCCAATATTACAGAAATTTAATTATTTTAACATATGATATATGTTCCTCTTTCAACCCTTGATGCAGATGCGCTTTTTTTGTACAATTCTTTGTTGCTCTTAAGATATCAAAGCTCTACAAATTCCGCAGAAAAATTAAAATCTAATTTATTAGTATTTTGTATATAAATATATAATATATATTATGCTATATATATTATATATAGCACATATATGTTATATATATATGCATGTGTGTGTGTAGTCAGTTGATGTTATTGCACATTGTTGCTAATGTCAGTGAAGTATCAGCGGCCTTCTGATTCGCACTCTCCCTCACCTCATTGAAGGTCCCTCTCAAGACCTTACTTTCAGTCACCTTTTCCCTTCCCATCCCTAATTTGACCCCCACCCCAGCTCGGATGCCCAGCCAATACTATTAAGTACTGTTGTGGGCAATTCCTGACATGAAAGACGCTGTATAAATTTAATTATGGATTGCATTGCTCACTTTACATCTTTCCTCACCAGTCGTTTGCCTCTGCGAAGGTTCAGTAAGCAGAATTCAGCATCACTGAGCAGCATTGAGCTGCATCAATGCTTTCAGCACATTGAGCAAAGGGAGCCCACTCCACACTGACTCTTTTTTTTCTTTGCATGGCGCTTCAATGTTCGTTTGTTCCTTGTGGCAATTGTGCACAAAGAGTCATCATGTCTTGGCTGTTTGTTGGGATGTTGCCATGCACAAACTGGCTGCCTCGTTTGCCCACAAATTACATAGTCACAATAATTTATGGTTAAAGCAAAGTTAAAACGCTTTGAGACGTCCTTACAACATGAAAGGCATGATATAAAATGCAAGGATTGTTATTATTATTTATATTGGAATATAAACGTCCAAGCGGGATCAAGTTATGGGGAAACATATCTGATTTACAAGCACTGCAGCACTTTGATTTGTTATTTGCCCTTTATTGTATATTTTGGCAGGAACTAAGGAATCTGACACATTTTTCTACTGATTTTTCTTACACTGTATTTTTTCAGATATGCAAATGTGTTACATATTATACATTTAATATATTTCTCTGGTGGATGCCAAAAAATATTGTCTACAAATAAAACTATCTACATTACTGTCTACAAATAAAACTGTGTGTCATGTACTTTCTTTGGAGCTATTTGTATGGTTATTACTGTACGACATGTGACTCTCAACTCTCTGTACATCCCGAGCCTTAAATCCTGCTTCGCTAACCATTTTTTTTACACCTCTGACAATCCTGGGCAGGAATACACTTAATATCTCATAGCTCAGCTTTCCCTGATGCCTCCAAGCTTTCCCCCTTTCTTCCCCCATTATAAATTTCTTTTTGATCTCTATTTTTCCCTTGCTAGGGCCAGAGATTCTTGCCACTCAGCTCCCTGTTAACCCTTCAAACCAAAGCCCATTGAGTAGGATAGTCTTTGCTGAACAAGCAGCAAGAATCTTGCCAGACAGTGCTCAGAATGACAAGCCATGCAGGTTTACCGAGCTGAACTTCAGCATTACCCCAGTGCACGCTCTGAAATAACCCATGCCTTGACTATCACCAACCTGCACCTAAAACTCTCTGGAATTAGGGAAGCAGGGGTGTGTCCTTCTGAGAAGAATACACATTCCATTCTAGGCACAGGGAAATTTCCACATAATTATGTGTAGCATAATTATCAGTCTGATTTGGATATGCTTAACCATGGTGATGGGTTTCCACATGTGTCAGAATCATGGCTGACCAAAGATAAAAGGCCTAATGAGTAGCAGGTTGCCAGCTCAGTCTCCCAACATGAAAGGCACATTGTTCTCAACTAAAATAAAATTCAAGTTTTACCTGGGAAACAAAAACATATCTCGGATCATTCCCAGGTCACCAAACACAAATTAGAATTAACCTGACTCAGGCAAGTATTTGCTTTCACTTTCATCACGTTGCACAGGCAAATAAGGCCGACACAATGCTTAATGTGTCTGAAAGACATGCAACCTTTATCAAAATGCCCTTTGTGCTGTTTCATTGACGCATTGATTCCAAAACGTGTGACAGAGGAGAAAAATGTTACAACGAGGCCCCAAATTCCAGCAATTTGCCTTACAAGTTCACAAGAGAACTTTGGATGAAGAAGATCCTTCGGCCATTTGATCTCATACTTCCAGAATTTCCCACCCTACCGTCTTCCCTTGTCTCCTTCAAGAACCCATCTCAAGACCTTCCGGTTCGACCGTGCCTTCGATCATCCTCCTACCGCTACCCTCCCCCACTGATCCCAACCACCAGCTCGGGTGCGAATCCCTGACTGGTCCAGCGAGTTTGGACATCCTCCAGACATGAAAGGCGCTATGCAAATGTAATGTGTTGTTGTTCCCATCACAGCATCAAGCTGCGTCTTGAATGAGTCCCAACGTCCTGATCTCAACCACTCTTCTTGGCAGCCTGTCTCCAGTTGTTAATTACTCTCTGGAAAAAAAATGTCTTCCTGTCCTTAAATTGCTACTTGCAACTCTAAACCTTTGCCCTCTTGTTTTGCTGTCTTGGTGCATCCGAAAATATTGTTGACTACTTGTACGCAAATGGAACAGCTAATTTCCACACAACAATGTCCCACAAACAGCCGCAAAATGAATGACCAAGTTGTCTGAGGGATTGATAGCCAGGACAGCGGAAGAAACTCTCTTCTCTTTCGGGATTTTTAACATTCACCTGAACAGGCAGATAGGACTACAGGCTCCTCCCAGCATTGCACTCGAGTATTAGCCTGGATTAAAACGTCCCGACATAGGGCATGAACCTACATCTCCTAATTCTACATTCGCTGCCAAACTCTCCAGGATCAAACAACATTCACAGATGGTTGAAATTTTCACCCGTTTGAATTGACAAATCCAATGTTTTCCGTCAGTCTCTTTTGCTCCACAAGAGGGCACCAGACCCATTCAGAAAACCGTTCCTGTCGGAAACCTGGCCATGAAGTATTTTGAGTCCATAAAGTTAGACCGCGGGTTGTAACAGATCCAGGAAAAAAAGGCAACTCTTGGTCACCTGACCCGGCTTTCTGGCACATGTGGTAAAATGACCTTTCTGTGTCAAAAACCAGCCCCAGATCACCACAGCACCCCAGTGCTATAAGCAGATTGGCTCTGGCGAGGAGCCTATATAACAGGATTTATAACAGTATTGCATTTGACGAATTATGTTCTATCCCTCTAAGAATCCCTCTAAATTCCTGTTTGGCTTCCTTGTCATTCCAGATCCTTCTCATGGGCTGGGCTGCCCCCTCCCCATCGCCCCCCGCCCAAGCATCTAGCATTCAGTATATTAACGTCGAGCTGCTCTCTTTACTCCCGCATAACTTCTCTCTAACAGCCCTCTTATCTCCTACTCCTCCTTACCACTCGACCTGCAAGATGACAGCTCCGGAGATGCACGATTCGCTTAATGATCTGAGCACTGCAAAAACACAGCACAAAATGTGAAAGGTCCTGTTGGCCCTTGCTTCCTGGTTCCAAATTTACATCCATGAACTGTCACATTATTGTGTCCAAGCCTCTTAACCATATTATATTCTTCCTCTAGCATCTCAATGTCTCTAGCCTTTCAAAATACACATGTGACTCTTCTGCTACATTTAAGAACACAGCATGTTGTAGTCTTGGCAGTTGCAATGGCAAGCTAATAGGTGTTGCAAATACTGTATCCAGAAATCCAATTCAAACTGACACCAATTATGCCACAGATTTAGTTTCAGTGGTCTTGGTATTTGTGCATACCTTGATAGGTCATCTGGATCCATTGCTCCCAAAGCCCTTTTTAATTTATTTGCAACATCCGTGTCCACTCTCTTTGTCTTTTTCAGTGTTGGTTGGTTTCCTTCTGACGCTGCGTAAGACGTATTCATAAAACAGTGGTGGGTGACTGAGTTTATTTCAGCCTTGATCACAATCCAGTCCACTCCATTAACCACACCCTGTGCCCATTTCCCAATTTATGCTATCTAAACCAGTTCACACTGGCTCGTAATTGATTCTCTCCAAAAGGATCTCTCCAAACTTTCAGTAGAAATCTGGCTACTTTTCCATTTCAACTGCATTTTTAGCTCAGTGTTTGCTATTGTTTTCATTTAGATTCAGTGCCTGGAAATCATATGGACATTTGTTTTTCTGAGCACTTCCTTTCTCTATCTCTCTCTCTGCTGGGGTCAAAATATAAACAAAAGTGGAGAACGAAGAACTGTGTCCAACGGCATAAGAGAGGGCTCTTCCCATGTATTGGTGTCAATGCCCCATTTCTTCAGGTTGGATTTCAAAAAATCTTTATATCTCTTTTCCTGGCTGCCAATACTTCTTTGGCTGGAACTCAATTCAGAATATAGTAGTTGTTTGGGAAGTCTGGAGACTATCAGATGTAACAGTCCCATTTTCCCTTCAAGTTACTGAAATGAGACCCATTTGCACAACCTATTAAGGATTGTGCAATAGAGAATCCCTTAAGAAGTAGCCTCCCCCAAATCTGGCCCACAATTCTCCAGATTATAAAACAGGACTGTTTGTGGGACATTGCTGTGTGCAAATTAGCTGCCATGTTCCGCAAAACAGACCCCAATTGCTAAACTTGCAAAATCTACACTATTTAATGCCAGTGCAGTTTAAGGAAAACAGAGAGATTTTGACAACATGGGTAAAATGCTATATCAAATGCAAGGATTATTATTGATTCGATGATGTTAGTTGTTGGCCTGACTGTGAGAAGGAACGTGTTACACCCTAACCTGCGAACTGGTGTCTCATTTGACTCGGGCACATTCAAAAAACAGTGTGGCTCTTTTCCATTCACTTGGAGTGTCTTATAACTAGTGCTGCTGATGTGCAAGGTTAGAGGTGAAGTTGTCGCATGTGGGCGAGCTATCTTTCATCAGCATAAACCCTCTGAAACCACAATCACCTGTAAGGACTCCATTAAATATTCAACCACACAGTTTTCTGTTTGTTGCAAAGAATTGCCAGTTACTTCCTCATGCGTGTTAAATGGAGCAATTCATCTGCCCCATACAGAAAAGCAAAACACATCCACTTATGTTCAAACATGCTAGAGGAATTTTTTTTATCAATCTGCCTGAAAACAAAATAGAAAAAACATGACCACTTTTATTTTAATCTCAGTTTTAATAAAATAGATTTGTATATCCAAGCTGAAAACTCCAGTTTTAGTGCTTGGAAAATGGTGCATTGCCAGAGATCCTATGCTTCAGATGAGATGTTAAACTGAGGTCCCCTCTGTTTGTTCGTCTGGTTTTTAAAGATCCCACAGCACCGAAAAGAGAAATGAGTTTTTTCCTTGGTACGCTGGCCAACAATCCTCCAGATTATAAAATGGCTCAATTCATTTCATGCTTGTTTGTGAGACATGGTTGCCAAGTTCCCCTACAAATCCACAGTCAGTACACTTTACAATAAATCCTGTGAAGCGTTTTGAGATAATTCGACAGCGTCATTAGACTTGATATCAAAAGCAAGGATAATTATTATTATCTGGCATTACGGAATGCTCCATGGGTTGTAATTGGGAATCTCTTATTAGTTGGGTGTTCCATGTGGCTTGAACCCACGGCCTTTGTCTCAAACATGATGGTTTTACTGCTTGTAGACATTATACTGGAATATTGAAGTAAAAGCTTATCATAAAATACAAACGAATGTCTCAGAAGTCTTAGTGATTTTACCAAGCCCCAGGTTAAGGATAAACTCCTAGTCACACCTTCCATTAATTCCATCTTATCGGATAGGAAGTTTCACATAAAGTTTATGTCACATATCACTAAGCAACCAGAAGTATGACACAGGTATAAGGTCCCACCTCCGGGTGGAGTCAGGAAGAGAGGGAATCTCACCACCGTGACAATGTCCTACATTAATTTAGGTTCCTTGTAATTCAGGTAGATGTCAAGAAAACAATTGGAAACAAAAAGAATCGATGTCTTAAGACGAAACTTGATAAATGAGGAAGAAGAGAATAGAGGGCTGTAGGAGAGATGATTTTGAGGTTTGGGTGCTCACGTGGAGTATAAACACCAATACGGATGATAATCTTTATAATCTTTACATTTTATACAGTGCCTCTCACGTCAGGAGGAAGTTTCAAAGAACTACATAGGATTTACTGTAAAGTGTAGTGACTGTGTATTTTATTGGCAAACGGGGCAGCCGATTTGCGCACAGCGATATCCCGTCTCCATGTCATATCACTTCAGGCAATTTTCCATCATTATCCTGGCTTGTATTCCTGGTCTCATCCGAAATCATCGCAAGGAAAACATTCAAATAAATTTTATAGAAGGATGGCTGCCGCAGGTTAATCGACACAATCGCCCCCACAGCCACCCCCAGCCCCTGTAACATTCACTTTATTTGTAAATGCTCACGTTACTGTAAAGCACTTAAAAAAGATGTCTCTATGTCACGTGAAAGAGAGAGAGAGAGAGGGCGAGAGAGAGCTGTACAAGTGGAAATTGTTGCTGTTGCTGTTGAGCTGGAACCAAGTTAAAGCGGCAGAGAGTGGGTGGGCAGAATGTCAGGCTCAGCAGTAAGGGGGAGTTGGGGCGTCTACACTAGCGTGAGAAATTAGTTCCAGATGTCAGTAAACCACAGAGTACAGAACCACTCTCACGTAGGCAACAATGTGAAGAGGTAACCTATAGACAGGAAAACACACAAAGTGGGTGAGGTGTATCAACCATTTTTTCTTTTTGGTTAGCGTGGTGTCTGATGCATACGGAAATCCATTACCAAGGAGACTCTGCTTACTTTCCCTCACGATAGGAAGATAGTCATTAGATAGTCATTTGGGCACTTCACCCGGTTTGGATAGTTTTCTAGGGTGAGGCTGGTTTTCACCTGAAAAATTATGCAAAAAACAAACCTGCATTTTTCTAACCCCTCGACATTGGAGTCCTGTAGCTCAGTGGTTAGAGCACTCGCTTTGCAAGCGAGAGACCCGAGTACAATTCCAGGCAGGGCGAAACCTTGGGCAAGTTTCCTTACTCCACACGCCTAATAATAATCCCTCCAAAACCAAAAACAATAATAAATTGGTCATTTTCAATCTACGACTGTTTGTGGGACATTGCTGTGCGCAATTGGCTGCCGTGTTCACCCACAGATATACAGTTAATTCACTTTACAGTGTGTTCTGTGAAGCGATTTGGGACGTCCTCCAGACGTGAAAAGCGCTATATCAAATGCAAGGATTGTTATTATTATTATTTTTATTGTCGAAAACATCCCAAATTGCTTTGCAACAGTTGCAGCAGTGGACTCCTGTAGCTCAGTGGTTAGAGCACTCGCCTCTCAAGCGAGAGACCTGGGTTCAATACCCGACAGGGTGAAACCTTGGGTAAGTTTCCTTACTTCCACACGCCTAATAATAAACCCTCAAGAAAAAAAACAATAATAAATTTGTCACTTCAATCCATGACTGTTTGTGGGACACTGCTGTGTGCAATTGGCTGCCGCGTTTCGCCCACAAACATACAGTCAATTCACTTTACAGTATATTCTGTGAAGCGCTTTGAGACGTCTCGAAGACGTGAAAAGCACTATATCAAATGCAAGGATTATTATTATTATTATTGCAGTCAAGTGTAGTGATTCCATTTGTAGGGGCAGCAATTTTGCACAGAGTGAGCCACGAAAAAAAAAGATCCAATTTACCTGGCAGATAGGGCTCTGGGAGCAATCCCCGTCCCCTTCTCTATTCAAATAGTGTCACAGGATCTTTAACATCCATCTCAAGAACAGGTAGACTGGACCTCGTTCTGCACTCTCACCACAGCTGGGTGACTCCAACAATCCAGCGCTTCCTATTTTTCTTCCCACATCCCCCACCCCCGCCACCCAATACCACCCGACCTCACACCAACACCCTCCCACAGTACGCCAACTGTACGTCAATCTATACACTAACCTCTGAAACCTCAACTTACGACCCAGATGGGCGAGTCCTACCAACTGCGTCAGGTTGGCATGGCACGAGTTTTTTTTAATCACCTTGGAATTTGTGATTAGCCTTCAAGTGCACCAGAGCAGTGATCTTTTAAATACTTCCATTTAACAAAGGAGTCCAAAGAGCAAAAAAAAAATAGTTTCAATACGTTAATGTGTAGGCGGGGAATGCTTTTGTCAGCATAACGTCTTGCAAAAAATCACACGAGGTTCATTCATATCACAAGCCCCATCCTTCCGTTTGTTCCGCAGTCTTAACAATCTTGCAGTGAGCGTGTAAGGATGTCTTATACTGTGGTAGCAGTGATATTCAACTTATACCTCTTGTTACTGAAAGGTAAGTCACTTTTTCTTCATTGGAAACAATGAAAAATCTGTTCAGTCATTTGTCATCGTTCTGCACAATGGGGGAGAACTGAATGTTTTGCCGAGAGCTTTGTCCAACATAGACATTGAAGTGAGATTGAGGGGAAATCCTTTAACACTGCCTCGTGGATACAGTTTAACCAGATTATCCAATTTAAAGTTTTGTTGTTTTTAAAACAAAAATCCAGTTTAGTTTCTACTTAACCAGGTATCAACCTGGCCACATTGGTCACACTCTCACTCCGAGTCAGAAGATTAAAGGGTCAAGCTCCCACCTCTGAATATTTGAACTCAAAGCCTAGGCTAATATTCCCAATGCAGTGCCGGTGGGAGTGTCACACTGTCAGAGGCGCTGTCATTGAGACGTTAAACCTGAGCCCCGTCTGCGCCCGTTCAGGTGAGCGTTAAAGATCCTGCGGCCCTATTTGAAAAGCGAAGGGAGTTTCTCCCGGCATCTTGGCCATCAATCCCCAGATAAGAATTGGTCATTCACTTTGTGGCTGTTTGCGGGACATTTCTGAGTGTGAATTGGCTGTTGTGCTTGTCTACAAATACACAGTTTCTACACTTTACACTAGATTCTGTGAAGCGCTTTGAGATGTGATAAGGCACGCCGATATTTTTACTACTAGCGACCTGTTGCTGTTGATCAGTGCAACGTTTGAAGCAAGTATATAACATGAAGATTCAAATACTCATGCGCCTTGCACCAAGGTACTTTCCCAGAGAGTTTAACAAAGTTAACAACCAGTTCTTGCACATTTCTCAACAAATAACCTTGTGTGTGTGTGTGTGTGTGTGTGTGTGTTTCTCTCTCTCTCTCTTTCTCTCTGCAGGTCAAACTGTGAACCTAACGCAAGACGTTGAAACGCAACTGATCAACGCCACTGTGGGAGAACAGGTGCTATTCTCTACCAATTGCTCGCCGTGCATCAATCGATCCGTAGAGTGGAAGTATCTCTCTGACGCTGTCAGATGCTCAGACCCCAAAGAGCACTCCGACCATACTGTACGCTCCATCGTAATGGTGTCAGACGACATTGACAAGGCGAGAGTTTTTGACATTTACAAGGATCGGGTCAATTTTTACACAAACAGCTCATTGCAACTGTTACACATTCAGCTGAATGATTCAGGATGTTACACACTAACGATAACAGACCCTCAAGGGAAGATAGTGACGTTGAGAAAAGTGCTATCAGTCTTTGGTAAGTTTCCCAAAAGGCATTTTTGTAAAGATGTTTATATATATATTTATATATAATATTTATTATATACGTGTACAAAATATAAAGAGGCAGTTTCAATCTCATTGCGCTTTCTAATAGGACCCTGTGTCCCATTTTAGAAGCAGAAACAAGCAAGCCGCACATCGATGGTAAAAACGACACATTAACAATTAAAATTGATGAGAACGACAGGTGGAAAAGTATTGGTAAGCTTTTAAGTTTCACTGTTTTAATTTCCCCCGATCAGGACTGCTCCTGCTCCTGCTCCTGAAATGGATTGGAATCGAATAATAATATAATAATAATCCTTGCATTTGATATAGCGCCTTATCACGTCGTTGAGACGTCTTAATGTGCTTCACAGAACGAATTGTAAAGTGGATTGACTGTGTAGTTTGTGGGCGAAATGCAGCAGCCAATTGCACAGAGCAGTGTCCTACAAACCATCATGGATTTAGTGACAAATTTTAAAGAAATTCTGTTATTTTGATGAATTAATACCCCTGGAAATCCGATCCGCCAATCGGCTAACAACCGGGTTCCTACTTACAGTTAGGTAAGCAAAGGCGAGTGAAAAAAGGAACCTTGTGTAATGTTTTGCCTCCTGGCCGGGAATCGAACCCAGATCCTATCGCTTGCGAGGCGAGTGCTCTAACCAATACGCTACAGGACCTCACATTCAAAAAGCAAAGAGAAATGTTTAATACTGTCATAAACGTTTCCGGAAAAATCGGAATTGCAAAAAGTACAGATAGAGTTATCAATACTTACCCTCCCCCCTTGAGTCTGGTACATAAAAAAAATCTCTAGCATTGAATGCAAGTTATGTTGTCCATTAGGTGCTGAGTGAAAATATAATGAATGTAATTCGAAGGGTGGGGACTTGGGTAAAGAAATTGAGCAAAATGGAGAAAACAAGAGACAGATATCTTCTCCTCTTTGTTCACCTGTTAAAACCTTCCCTGCAAAAATCCAACTTAGAGCAATGCAAGGCTTACACTGTAACAGCCATGAAATTGACAGGCCTCACAAAGGTCATAGTTGGCGTGGCAAGAGAGAAAATTATTTGGAGGAAAGTCAGCAGTGATTGTTAAAGTGTAGTGTCTTCAGCCATGACCAATACCAATTTCACTATTCGGACATGGTCTTTAAATCCTTCAAGCCCAAGTTGAGTATCGCTCAGCTGAATCGCCATGTTGGGTATGTTAGAGATGATTAATTGTGTATATAATGAACTGTCACATAATCTCAAGTTGGGCAAGTTTCCTTACTCCACACAGAGCCTAATAATAATCCCTCCAAAACCAAAAACAATAATAAATTGGTCATTTTCAATCTACGACTGTTTGTGGGACATTGCTGTACGCAATTGGCTTCCGCGTCCGCCCACAAATATACAGTCAATTCACTTTACAGTGTGTTCTGTGAAGCGCTTTGGGACGTCCTCCCGACGTGAAAAGCGCTATATCAAATGCAAGGATTATTTTTATTATTATTATTATCTCCCTACCTTTGAAACCCTCTTCAAGGTATTTCTTTACCTAGAGGATATTTAGCTCCTGGAACAGTTTGCCAGGAAGAGTGGTTGAGGCCAAGACATTGGACTTGTTTCAAAAAGCAGCTTGATGCTGTGATGGGAGGATGGGTGTCTTCTGGAAGGGTGAGGTCAAACGAACAGAAAGACCTTCTTCCTGCAAACCAATCTTGTGAATGTATTCTCTTCACAGTACCTTTGGTTCGCACCTCAAATTCCTTGGCCCCCATTCCTCTTCTGCCTGCTTTGAGGTCCCCATCACCTCTGTGAAGCACTTTGATATGCTCATCCCACTTGAAAGGCGATACTTAAGTGCAAGTTCTAATGATAATAATACTAATAATGATAATCCACGCATTTGATATAGCGCTTTGTCATGTCGTCGAGGTGTCTCAAAGTGCTTCACAGGATTTTTATCGCAGAAGTGCAGTGACTATGTATTGGTCGGCAGCCAATTTGCACACAGCGATGTCTCACAAACAGCGGTGGCCTATGCTCTCTGCGTTGAATATTGCTCTTTGCTACGTTGTGTTGTTCGCTTTAGGCGGTTACCTTCATAATGATTGTTTCAAAGTTTGCAGGGTTCCTCTATTGCTGTTTATTTTTGTGGCCCATATCAGATTGCTTTCAGGTTACAGTCAAGTGCTAGGAATGCACGGCAGGTTGATCAGCATCTGAAAGAGAAAAGTAGGTTAGAGTTCGAAAGGTATGCATTGACCTACAAACACTCAGTTAATACACTTCACTGTAAATCCTGTGAAGCGCTTTAAGATGTCTTCCTGACGTGAAAGCTGCCATCTCAGATGCAGCGATCATTGTTACTATTACAGTGCCCCTTCTTCATCACCCCGGTTCTCAGCACAGGTCTCACCCGAATCGTTAACCACTCACTCTCTTTTTCTGACGCTGTTTCACCCATGTTGTGTTTTCAGTGTTTCACAGACTTGCAAAGTTTACGGTTTATCTTTTTATCTCCACCTTGCTTTATAATCTCTCTCTTTAACCCTGCTTCTACACCGCACCATAAAATGGCCTAGTTTGACAGAGACTTGAGCAGGTGAGAATTTCCACTACCCGCTTGCAATTGACGCTCCAAGCAGGGCCGGGGGGAAACACTGCATTGTCGGAAGGTGCTGTTGATGAGGCCTGGTTAGAGGCAATAAAGATCCTTAGGCACGATTCAATAAGAAAAGGGAGATTCTCCCGGCATCCTCCCGACCAAAAGTCCCCCAAATAAAATTGGTCACTCACTTTACGGCTGTTTGTGGGGTCACTGCTCTGCGCAAAAACACAGAGTCACTACACTTTAACAGTGAAAACCGTGAAGTGCTTTGGGATGTTCTCCTGATTTGAAAACCTCTGTAGGATCCAATGCAAGGATTATGATTATGTTGTAAGTTATGGGGAGCTTCAAGTCTGCAGGCTCAGATGCATGGACAGAGGTTGGGTATAATGGGCCAAATGGCCTTCTTTTAAGCATTGCATATTTTCAGGCTAAACTTCTGTGGCTTGTTCGGTCGTGAGCTCTAGTGAGGCTTGTATTTGTTTACTTAGTAGGAATCTTTTTGTTATTCAACTAGCAGATCACTTTCTGGGTAAAATAATCCCTTCAAGTTTTAAAAATAATAATAATAATTTGGTCACTCAAACCACGACTGGTTGTGGGACGCTGCCGTGTGCAATTGGCTCATTTCGCCATCAAACATCCGGTCAATTCACTTTACAATATATTCTGTAAAGCGCTTTGAGATGTTTCAACGACATGATAAGGTGCTGTATCAAATGCAAGAATTGTTATTGTTATTTCCAATAATGGGAGACAGTCAGATTCTTTCAATTATTATAAAGTTACAGTGCGGTAGCCGCCGGACTTCACTTTCACTCTCCTCCGAAAGAAAAATTAAATCTACCTTTTAAACTTGAACATTAATGCACATCACTGAGGGACGATGGTATCAGGTTGCTTGTTATATAATGTAACTTATCTGTGGTCGTATCAGCAGAATGCTCCAGCAATGCCAACACTGAATTACAAGAGGACCATTAAATTAACCACAGCATTTTATTGATCCAAGGTGGAACTGATATGATCAAAATGTGAACTGTTGATAAGAATCTTCCAAAGCACAAATCTCTATACAGGATATTCTAATAACTCAGATGCCTATGTTTCAAAGAAACGTGGCATTTTAACACAGGACCAAAGCAGAGCGCAATTGGAGAATTTCTTTTTCTCAATCCACAGGTCTATTAAGTTACTATGTCTGTTCACTTTCCCTCTACCTCTTCTGAGTTTGAATCCGTGGGCTCCTTGTTATGGATTTTCTGACCTTGTTAAATGTTTTAAGGTTTAAGTTTTTTGTTCAGCCGGGTGACTGATGTGCACAGAAACCCATCATCAACCTTAAGAATATCCAAACCAAACTGAAAGTTTTACATACGTACCCCACTTACATGGGAAAGATTTCCTGGGTCTGGAATGTTCATGTTCATCTCACACACACACACACACACTGCTTTGTCCAGTTAAGACCATCCTACCTGTTAGGGCTTTGACTTGCAGAATAACTATGGAGTCTATGAAGATTTCATTGCTATCTCCCCTGAAGTCTCTTTAGTGTAAACCTTGCTTTTGTCTGCAGCCTCTGATAAGCGCTTTGAAATGTCTCGAAGATGTGATACGGCGCTATATCAAATGCAAGGATTGTTATTATTACCATCTCAGGTGCAAAGAAAATAAACAAATGCTTTGGCATTTTCAATGGTATCAGAGTTGTTTGCAGTTGTAGTATTTTTTGTTCACAGTATAAATGGTATTTTAAATCTATATTAGAGAAAATCAATACCATTGGCTTACCCAAAACTATTATCATTCCTTCGCACTATTTAAATGCTCTAAGATACTACCCTGCGTGAAAGGCGCTCGTATAAATGCAAGTTGCTTTGTTGTTGAAATATCCAGTTCAGGGTCATTTTAGTTAGAAAGCTGGAGAAATATTCTGGTATAAAAAACAAGGAGCACTCAATCAAAGAGTTACTTAATTCTGTCTCGATTTTTCTATCTTGTCCACCCCATCCCCCCAACCGCCCCCCCCCCAACCAGCTCGCCTATTCCACTGTTCACCCGCTTAAATGCAGAATAATTAAATCTGAACCATCTGTTCATCTCTTTTAGACATTTTGCCTGTGTTAAACAGATTGTTAAGGTTCAGATCTTAATGATTTCAGCAATACATCCCCTGAATTTTCTTTAGTGTAAACATTGCTTGCTTCGGTAGCCTCTTGTAATTTAAGTAACGTAATCCTTGCATTTGATATAGGGCCTTATCACGTCTTTGAAATGTCTGATAGCGCTTCACAGAATATACTGTAAAGTGAATTGACTGTATATTTTGTGGGCAAAACATGCAACCAATTGCTCACAGCCGTGTCCTACAAACAGTCACGGATTTATATTATTGTATGTTTTAAAATATATTTAGAGTAAAACCTTGCAAAGAGCTTTGAGACATCTCAATGATGTGATAAGGTGCATTATAATGCATTATAAAACAAGACTGCTCTCTCTCTCTTCCCAAAGGCATCATCATTGGTGCTATTGTGCTTGTTGCAGCCTGTGCACTGTTCATTGTAGCCATTGGACATTTCATAAAGAAAAGGAGAAAAGGCGGTAGACTTGCTGGTGAGTGAGATTTCTGAAGGAACCATCGTAAACACTTCAACTATTTTAATTTATTTTTTACTGAAATAAACTGGCAAAAAATGTTTTAAATATTCTAGTCCAATTGTATGCAAAGTATGTGTCTGTTGTGGGAGTTTCAAGAGAGAGGTAGACAAAAATGTGAAAATAGAGGCTTGAAGGGGTTTGGAGATAAGGCAGACAGTGGGATTGAATGAATATCTTGGCCTCCTTGTATATTGTAAATGTCTATGATTTTATGAAAGGACTTTGATAGACTGTTTAGACTGACTCACCCACAAAGATCACCCACCTAAGGAAAAAAGGGAAAGATTAGAAGAAATTTCTTCAAATAGAGAGATACTTGAATGCTCTGTTCTACAAACCACTGTTGAGGCTACATTTAAAATCCAATTGGATAAATAATATTGAAGGGTACGAGAGAAAAGATTAAGGCAATTGATTGATTAGAGTAGATAGGCAGCTCAAACCAGCACAGATACAATGTGCTGAATTGCCCCCTTCTGTGTTGTAAACTTTCTATTGTCATTACTAAAAAAATGTGAATTAAGTAGTATCTTAACACAAACTAGAATATTTTCATGTCACACTTTTCCACTTTCTGTTTTTGTCATTTATGCACATTGAATAATACTTTACATGGCAAAATGAGTCATAACTTCTAAAACGCCTTTATTTCAAAGGCAATCGCAGGCTGGGGATAAACCCCCTCCCGCCCACAGTAAAAATAATTGGTCATTCACTTAATGGCTGTTCATGGGACTTGAACTGCTGTGGGGTCCTGGAGTCCTGACTGCCGTGCACATATTGCCTGTAAAATGCACAGGCGCTATAGTTTACAGTAAATCCTGCAAAGAGCTTTGAGAATTTGAATGACACAATTGAGGCAAATGCTTGGAGTTTTATTCTTTTTATTATTATTATCTTATTTATTATTATTATCATCCTTAGGTTAACATGTTCCTAAGGTCCTCTCTGCCTGTTCAGGTCGATGTTAAAGTGTCTATCTCACTATATGAAAATAGATAGGAGTTTCTCCTGGTGTCCTGACCAACAATCTCTTCAGATAGAATTGGTCATTCACTTCACATCAAACAACAACAACAAGGTTCCATTTATAGAGCACCTTTCATGTCGGGAGGACGTCCCAAGGCGCTGTATAGTTGGGTCATGACCCGAGCAGGGGGGAAATGGTCAGGGTGAGGGGAGGGAAGGGAGGGAGCGAGGAGTGGGTAGAGAGTTGAGAGGGGAGCTGAAGGCACGGTCAAAGAGAAAGGTCTTGAGACAGGCCTTGAAGAAGGAAAGGGAGGAGGCGGCGAAGGTACTGGGGGATAGAGTTCCAGAGCCTAGGGGCTGAGAGGCTGAAGGCCCGGCCACCAATGGTAGGGCGGTTGGGGCTGGGGATGTGAAGCAGACCGGAGCCAGAGGAACGGAGGGTACGGGCAGGTAAGTAGGGGCAAAGTAAGACTTGCACTTACAAAATATACAGTAGTACTTTACAATAAATCCTGTGAAACATGAAGGAACGTTAAATCAAATGAAAGGCTTATTAGTGGATGAGGTGCTGATAATTATTAATTATTGTGATTATTATTATTAACAGATGAGAAGATCAATGAGGACTTGAACAATGATAATCCAATGGTGGTTTACTCAACATTTGTAGGCGGATTTCACGAATTCGGGAGGTCGCTTCAAAATGCCTCTCTCAACCAAACCTGAATGACATAGAGGGAGATTGCGTATGATAAGTGCGTACATCACATGATAAAAATATGCACATTTGCCACTGCAATGCATTTCATTGCACTGCACTGAAAAGGAAATGGGGACTGGGAACTGAATTTGTATGGCAGCATAGCTGGACATGTTTCAGTTAAGAGCTCTTTGAGTTGGGTTGATGAAGTGTTGTGGCCATCTAAGAATGAAGGCGATTCAAGCCTTGAAGTTGCTGCTTATCACACTTTCTTTCCAGATACTGTATGTAGTTCACTGATTCCGATTAAGGATTTTGTAACTAATTCTGCGGTTATCTCAGCCGGCCTTTCATTTTTCTAAAACACAAACGCTAAACTGCGATTCCACAGTGCAGTTTTGTTCATTAACCTTTATCATATTTGATTGCACTGTTAAATAAATATGTTTGCATTTGATCAAACCCAGTTAGTTTTACCTGAAAGGGACAATGTTCAAGTGTAAACATCGCAACATAGCACAGAAATCCCATATTGGGCATAAACTAGTCCTTGTAAATTTTCTTTGTGTGTTCAATTGATTTTTTTCTTTTTGCCAAGCAAATATGACTGGTTGATTTATTCCACTGAATTAAACTGCTATTTATAACAAATTAAGATGTTTGGATGTTGCCGTATGACATACTGGTTGTTTAGTAAGCTTGAGTCATCCACCCCAAAGTCATCAGAACACAGTAAAACAGGAAGAGGAGGAGGCTATTCAGTCATCCAGCCTGCTCCACCTTTTCAGATCTCGGCTGATGTTTTAATCCCAGTGCACCACCCTTTCTCCATACCCTTTAATACATTTGCCTGCAAGCACACACAGTCACTACACTTTACAGTTAATCCTGCGGAGTGCTTTGAGATGTCCTCCGGACGTGAAAGACACTATATCAATGGCAAATGTTTAAAGATGTAGTGCATAATTCTCAGCGGTCACGTATTCCCTTGAGGAATAAGGGTACCACAGGAAAAGCAGTTCATCCGTGGCTAACTGGAGCAGTTAGAGAACGTATAAAACTAAAAGAAAAGGCCTATAAAACTGCCCAAAAGAGTAGCAAACCTGAGGACTGGGAGTGTTTTAGGGACGAACAAAGGAAAACCAAAAACCTCATTAAGAGTGAGAAAATGGCTTATTAGGAACATTAAGACAGATTGTAAGAGTTTTTATAAATACATTAAGAGGAATAGGCTAGCATGTGGGTCCATTACAGGCAGAGACAGGAGGAATTATAATGGGGGATAAGGATATGCCGGAGTCCCTAAATAAATACTTTGCTTCTGTCTTCACGTTAGAAGACACAAGAAGTTTACCAGAAATAGATATGAACCAAGGGGCTAATGATAGGGAGCAACTTAGGGAAATTTACATTAGCAAAGAATTGGTGCTAGGGAAATTGTTGGCATTAAAAAGTGACAAGTCCCCTGGATCTGATGGTTTACCTCCTTGGATTTTAAAAGAGGTAGCTCATGAGATAGCGGAGGCCTTGCGTCTGATCTTCCAAAATTCTTTGGATTCTGGAACGGTTCCCATTGATTGGAAGATCGCAAATGTCACACCACTATTTAAGAAGGGTGGGAGAGAAAAGATGGGAAACTATAGACCAGTTAGTCTGATATCGGTGGTAGGGAAAATTCTACAATCCTTAATTAAGGATGTCGTAGTGGGATACCTAGAGGATCACAATATGATTAGACAGAGTCAACATGGCTTTACAAGAAGGAAGTTATGCTTAACAAATCTTAGATTTTTTTGAGAACATATCAAGTAGATTAGATAGGGGGGAATCAGTGGATATAGTGTATTTAGATTTCCAAAAGGCATTGGATACGGTGCCGCATAAAAGATTGATCCACAAGTTTAGGGCCCGTGGAATTAAGGGGAATATATTAGCATGGATTGAAGAATGGCTATCGGGAAAAACGGGTCCTTCTCAGATTGGCGGGATGTGACTCGTGGAATGCCACAAGGATCAGTGCTTGGGCCTCAACTATTTACGATCTACATCAACGATCTAGATGAGGACATCGAACTTAATATATCCAAATTTGCGGATGACACTAAACTAGGAGGGAGAGTAAACACCGAGGATGACATTAAAAAAATGATATACAGATAGGCTAGGGGAGTGGGCAAATAGGTGGCAGATGAAGTAAAATGTAGGGAAGTGTGAAGTCATCCACCTAGGTGTCAAAACCAGTAGAGCAGATTATTTTTTAGAAGGGGAGAAAATAGATAGAATAGATAGATAGTTATGAGTTATAAGGATAGGTTGAGCAATTTAGGCCTATATTCTCTAGAATATAGAAGAATAAGAGGTAATCTTATAGAAACCTATAACATTATTAAGGGGCACAACAGAATAGATAGTCGGAGACTTCTTCCCCTGGTTGGAGAAACTATAACCAGGGGTCACAGTCTTAAAATTGGGGTAAGCCCTTTTACACTGAGTTGAGGAAAAACTTCTTCACTCAGAGGGTGGTGAATTTATGAAATTCTCTACCCCAAAGGGCTGTAGATGCTCAGTCATTGAACATATTCAAGACTGAGATTGATAGATTTCTTGTGGATAAAGGGATTAAGGGATATGGGGATAAGGCAGGTAGGTGGAGTTAGAATAGATCAGCCATGATCTTATTGAATGGCGGGGTAGGCTAGAGGGGCCGAATGGCCTACTCCTGCTCCTAATTCTTATGTTCTTATGTTTTTATGACCACTCAATCCTTCTCCACTGCCCCTCCTCCCACCTCAACCTTCAAGGTTGTCCTTGACTGGTTCAGGTCCTGCCTTTCACACCGCCTCCACTTCGTCGTAGCAAACAGCTTCTCCTCCAGCCCCCTCACCGTCTCGTGCGGCGTTCTTCAGGGTTCTGTCCTCGGTCCCCTCCTCTTCACCCTCTACATGCTCTCCCTTGGTGACGCCCACAGATGTAAAGTCAATTCACTTTACAGTACATTCTGTGAATATACTGTGAATATTCTGTGAAGCGCTTTGAGACGTCTCGAAGACGTCAAATGCAAATGCAAGGATTATTCTTCTTATTATTATTATTTGGGACATCCTCCCGATGTGAAAGGTGTTCTATAAATGTAATTTTGTTGTTGTTGTTCGTGTCGGAAAGACATCTAATAATAATAATAATACTCAAAGGGTTTGACAGCTTTCTGGAGCAGAAGATAGCATATTTTCACAGCCTCTCTGTGTGAAGAAATGCTTCCTGAACTCAGTTCTAGCTGTCTTAGATCTGATTTTAAGGCTCTGCCGTCTTCTTTGTTAATCATCCATTTAAACTAGCACTCGCCTCGCAAAGCGAGAGGACCCAGGTTCGATTGGCAGATCGCTTTTCCGGGAATAATAACCCCTTTTAAAAAAAAAGTAATAATAATAATAATTTGGTCACTCAATCCACAATTGCTTGTGGGACACTGATGTGTACAATTGGCACCTTGCGTTTTGCCCAGAAAATATACAGTCGATTCACTTTCCAGTATATTCTGCAAGCGCTTTGAGATGTCTTAATGACGTGATGAGATGCTACATCAAATGCAAGGATTATTATTATTAAAGAAAATCGAAACAAAGTAAAAGGATGTAAAAGGAATAAAAAGACATCACATTGCCTAACTGAGACAGCCATCAATAATAATACCAACTTGCATTTATACAGCTCCCTTCACTTAAGATGATGTCGGAGCACCCGGGAAGAGAGGGGAGAGATGCAGGGAGGAGTGACTATATTAATAACAGCTGTAAACCAGGACTGAAAGGATTACTTTTAAAAGAGCTAGCACGGATACAATGGGCCAGATGGCCTTCTTCTGTATTGTAGATTTCTATAGTTCTATGCGGAAACCCATCACCATGCTTAAGAGTATCCAAACTAGACTGAGAATTCCTTACATCCCATCTACACATGGAAACTCCCTTTGTTTGGAATTGAAAAGCGCACTTTCTCACCAGAAGGATGCACCATGCTTACCTAGTTCTAGCGAATATTAGGCGCAGGTTGGCAAGACCCAAGGCTTGGGGAACCCAGAGTGTGCATTGGGATAAGACTTAAACCAGCTAAAACCATGTAGCTTGCCATTGAAAGCACTGTCTGGCAAGCTTCCCACTGCTGACCAGCTAAGAAACAACCAAGTTATTAGGGCTTTAGCTTGCAAGGTTAACAGGAGCTGAGAGGGAAGATTTCCTGCCCCCAGGGACCAGTTTACCCCTCCAAGTCCTGCCGATGAGCCAGGCTGAGCTGTGCTGCCATCAGCAGTGTCCTAGAATACTGCGGACCCGTCTGACTCAGGAACCGGACTGCCAAAACTGCCACAGAGAGTTGACTCGATTCTAACATTTGATTGCCAAGCATATTGCCAAGCTCCACGGAGAACCCACTTGCCTCTCCACCAAGGAGGATACGCATTCTTGGCCATTTGACCAACAACAAGCCGGGATTTGCGCCCACACTAGGTGGATGGCAGGTGCCAGTAACTGTGAGTTTAAGAATAATAATAATAATAATAATAATCCTTGCATTTGATATAGCGCTTTTCACGTCTTCTAGACGTCTCAAAGCACTTCACAGAATATACTGTAAAGTGAATTGAATGTATATTTGTGGGCGAAAGTCACGAATGTCCCGAAGTGGGGCTTGAACCTGCAAACTTCTGCTCAAGAGGTGAGAGTGCTACCGACTGAGCCAGTATGACACCATGTTCTTCCCAATCTATGCACTGAAAGCTACGAGGCAATTCTACCCTTCTTTTAAATTTTCGATTCTTTCAAGAACAAATTTGATACATTTCTGTTAGGAAATAATATCTAGGGATGTGTGTATAGTTTGGGACACAACATGTGCATGCCACTGCCTAGAATGTGTAAAGCGAATTGGATGGACCTTGGTCTTCTTTCGCCTGGCAAATTTTTTTGTTCTTATGTTATTATCCCTTTTTCAGGCTGTATGAGTGCCTTGAGAGCTCTTGATACAAAAGGTGACTCTTGGTGACCATGTTCACGAGCGAGATTGGCAGCATTGAGAGACAAAGCATCTGTTTCGAAATGACTGCAATTTTGTCCAGAAATAAGTTGGCAGCTTATTACTAGGAATTGCACAAGATTGGTATGCAGCATTTTGTTTGATTAGCATCAAAGTCAATAGCGCAAAACTTGTCATAATTGAAAAGACTTTCCACTCAACAATGCCATGCCAATCGAATTGCAAAAGTTCTAAAATTTGATGATTAGTCATAATTATCATAAAAGTAGACTTGGAAAATATCAGCACAAATCGTGCTATTTTCAGGCCAAAGTTCATTTCCATTTTATGCAATTTCAAAGTCGTGGCATATGACTCAGGGCAAAAGGCAAAGCCAAAGGCATTTGGTTCTGACTGTTTCTCCAGTCCTCAACATTGTTCCAAAAAATCAAAGGCAAATAGCTTTGATTACGTAATGGAGTAAGTAAAACATGCTCCCTTTGTGGTTATCTCAGGACAGAGAGGTTACGGCTGACAATTTGTTGGTGACTGAAAGGCAGCAGCCACTGGCAGTCAGACCACATTTTATACTCTTGTTGAATTAGCACATATTCAGTGCTGTG